TGGATGTTTCTATCTCTCCCTCTCCCTTCCTCTCTCAAATCAATAAAAATATCTTTTAAAAAAATAAGGCAAAATCCTAACAACAATCCAACCACCACCGTTCACCATCTATGGCCCCTAACCCTGACCCACCCCAGCCCCAGCATGAACCCTGACCCCAGCACTGACCCCAAAGGTGGCCCAGGCACAGCATGGCCCCTCTTCCCGGGCAGGGCCAGCTCCAACTGCCCTCTTATAGGGGGGTGTGTCTCCTCCGTCTCCCAAACCCAAGAACTGACCCTCCCCCCACCCCGCGACCCCCTCAGACCCGTTGAGGATCCAGAAAGGTGCACCTTCTGCTCACAGGCTGTCCCCGCACCTCACAGCCAGCAAGTGCCTGCGAGCTGCCTCCAGAGGGGGCGGGCGCAGGTGGCAAAACGCCCCTGGCAGAGTCCTGGGGAAACGGGACCCAGATGGGGGGTTCAGTGAACACAGGTGTGGCCATGTGGGGGAGTGGTCACATGAACAAGGGGGTGGGGCCACGTGAAAAAATAAAAACTTCTACTCATCGAAAAGCACACCATTTTTAGTGAAAAGTTGGTGTAGCAAGCGACTTGTTCTAGTTCTTTATTCATTAAGATTGCCTAGCTTGTACATGTTAAAATCTCATATTAAGCCCTAGCCGGTTTGGCTCAGTGGATAGAGCATCCGCCTGCAGACTAAAGGGTCCCAGGTTCGATTCCTGGTCAGGGCACATGCCGGGTTGTGGGCTCGATCCCCAGTTGGGGGGTGTGCAGGAGGCAGCCAATTAATGATTCTCTCTCAACATTGATGTTTCTATCGCTCTCCCTCTTCCTTCCTCTCTGAAATCAATAAAAATATATATATTTTTTAAAATCTCATATTGTAATCTGAACAATAAAGATTTAATTAAAACAAAACAAACAAACAAAAAAAATCTCATATTAACAATTTTGCCGGAGTCTTCCTAGTATTTTTAGGAGTGTAACACATATGAAGTGATAGGCTAAGAATGAGCATACAATACCTGTGTTTTACCTGACTCTCTGGTTATCCTTTTAAAACTCACTACTTCATGCCAGCCATAGCATCATTCTGACAATTAGACTCAACACGATGAGCCTCTAATTACTGGTAATTTTACCAAAATCTTTCAATGGGCCCGGCCTCGGTGGCTCAGTGGTTGAGTGTCCACCTATGAACCAAGAGGTCATGGTTTGATTCCCTGTC